TGAAATTACTGTCAAGCAGCTACATGTGCAAATTTATCTTGTGGCACATAGAAATATTTGAAAGAACACTTTCAATTGGAGTCCGCATCTGGACACTTGGGCAGCTACGTGAGATCACAGACCCTCCTATTTTAATCCCCAGGTTTTGCCATAGTGTCCATACAGTGTTCAAATTAGGATCAACATCTACTAGCACAGGTAAGCCGAGCAAAGCTTTTCTAGCCATGGCAGCCACTACTGAATACTGTGAGTGAGACCTAAGATAATAAGACCCTGAGGCTGTCCATTATATATAATGCTTTTCGAGCAACATCTACAAAGAAATTCTCATTGCATTTTTATTATTACAGATGCTTGCTTATGCAAGTTCAACAGTATTCTAAAGGAAGCAAAAGTCAAGTGAATAAAAACACATACCCTGGTTTTAAGAAAGTCAGTTTTAATAAACTCAGAACAATGATGAGTAAAGTGCCATGGCCAGAGAAAAGCAGTCTGTGGGTGGGATTTTTTTTAAAGGAAAACATAATTGCAAATAATCCTAAAGAAAAAAGGTAGAAAACAACAGAAGAGGCCAATGTGGTTTTACAAAAAACTTAAGAGATGACTGAAAACTAAAAGGACATGTATAAGAAGGAAAGCCAGGCTACAAAGGACAAATATGGGTTAGTAGCACAGAATTGCAGGGCGGACTTCATGAAGACTAAAGAGGAGAATGAGCTGAGGTTAGTGGGAGATGCTAAAAGCAACAAAAACCTTCTTCAGATACACAGTAAAAGAGGAAACCACTTAACAAAGATGGCAAAATGATAGCAGAGGACAAAGGAAAGGCAGAAGTGCTCAATTCTTTCTTTGGCTCAGTCTTCTCTGTTCCTGATGAAGGGGAAGTACAAGCTGGAGCGGGATGGCAGCTCAAGATTGATAAGCAAATCGCCAAGGATCATCTAATTGGGTTGACTGAGTTCAGATCTTCAGGGCCCGATTAGCTGCATCCCAGAGTAACGAAGGAACTGGCAGAAGAACTCTCAGAATCAATGTCTAATATCTTTGAGAAAGCATGGAAGACAGGGGAAGAGCCAGATGACTGGAGAAGGGCTAATGTTGTCCCTATCTTCAAAAGGGAGAAAAACTAGGAAGCTGAGAACTACAGAGCAGTCATTCTGACATCGACCTCTGGCAAAATTCTGAGATGGGTTATAAAGCAGGCAGTCTGCAAACATCTGCAAACAGTGGAGTGATTACTACAAGCCAGTATGGCTCCGTGAAGCATAGATTTTGGCAGACTAATCTGATCGCATTTTTGATCAAGTTAACCTCCCTGGTAGACTCAATGGCAACTTCACAAACCAGGGAGAGGTATTGCTAAAGTTCAAGAATATAAATAGATATACTTTAGTATATCTAGCAAATTTCACTTGTAGTGTGTCAAACTTACTGTTATTAAATATGTAGGAAAATAACACTGCCTTATATACCAAAATAAACTTTTTCTTTAGTCTATCATGATGAAAAATATACAGAAGGAAAAAAGGAAAATACTAGCCTGCATTCTAGCCCTGTTCCGCTACTATCAATGTGTACTTGTAAGCCCTATGGAACACAATGGAATTTATTTATCTGTAGTCATGTATAGGATTGCCATATTAAAAACCTACTTCTAAATGTCACACTATTGACACAGTCCAAGCCTTTGCATGTTTACCCTAAAGTAAGTCTCCATTTTCTGAATGTAGCTTTTTCTATTATGATTACTACCACAGAAGGCTGTGTCAGCAGTTCCATTCTTGCAGTTGCTTTGGGCACCAGTAAAATTTGTAATGGTGATGTTGGTATAAACTGAATTAATTATTCATTTAATGTTATCAAATAAATGCAGCAGCTTGTTAATATTTTAAGTGGCAGTACTATATCCAGAGAGCACAGATGGTCATAATTTTTTTTAAAAGGGATCTGAAGTTCTGATAGAAAGGTCAGGTTTTACACACACACACACACACACACACACACACACACACACACACAGAGAGAGAGAGA